CCGTATGCTCGATTTAATTAAAAATATCAAATCTTACATCTTCAAAACAAAGGGAAGCCAGAACATGTAAGCATAAAGCCCTGAAAGAAGAAAGACATAACTTCTTCTTCCCCCTTTTTTAGAAAAAAGTATTATTAACGAAAGTTCAAAAAGTGTCATTTCGAATTGAAAGAAGGAGGATAAAAAAATATGTTCGCTCTTTGCTTCTTATAAAAAAAACAAAGCGATCTATGTGTGTATGGAATGTCAGATAATATTTTTTTTTTTTGCTAATTAGCTAAGTGAGAATATTGATGTTACGTTACGTTACAGTAAGTTTATATAAATAAGTTACGTTATAGAGAAATTCTTAATGAAATTATTTACCGACAATATGACGAAAATCCGGAAACTAAAAGCTTACTTGCAAAGTTTGATCTACATTCGGTATAATTTGACATTTATATAAAATGTCTAAAAAAAACCAAACAATATATTTATTATTATTAGTAAATTATGTTATCAAATTTACAATTTTATTTCCTATAATACATGAATTAATTCTACATAATACGTTAGGGGACTTTCGGAAAATCAAAAAAGTAAATTTTTTTTCTATAATAAATTTTTTTGAATATTTATAAATTTCAATAGATACCGCTGCTATTTTGTATATTTATATAGATCAGATTATTTTATGATTTTGTAAAACTATTTTTTTTTTCTATTCATGGTCTTAACGCATATTCTTTATCTTTATCATCTAAAGCTTTAGGAAATACAACAATCTGCTTGTATAAAAAGCTTCAGAATGGATTTCCTCTGGATCAAATTTGCTTTTTTTCAAATGTGAAAGCTCTTCAGATAATTCCGATGGATTAGGGTCATCAATCGCGCTTAATCAAGTTTCTAACTCATCATTTAATTCAGATGTAGTTGGACGACTTGAGGGGTCAGAATCCCAACATCTTGTCATTAATTGAGTATAAACGTTTGGAGTTCTTATTTCAGGACGAAGACCGGAACAAATTTGACTGGCCAAATTCGAATCATGTGGTCTATTACACCATGGAAGAACCCCTGCAGAAAGGGTCCACATGATCATTCCAAAACTATAAATGTCTATGGACTCTGTTAATGGTTTTCCTTGCAAGATTTCGGGAGCAACGTAAGGAAGAACTCCATATATTTCGTTTGAATTTTCCTTATTTATATAATAAGGCTCAATATCTGGGATATCAATGTTTTCAAACGAACCTTGTGTAACTTCAACCAAGATATTGCCTCCATGAATATTTCCATGAATCAATCCCTTTTCGTGATAATGCACAATTCCTCCAGATATTTGCCAAAGCATAATTAGAATATCTCTCCAACAAAGCATTCCTTGAGTTTCATCAAGAAATGAATATAAGTCTCTATTTTCATAATTTGCATAGTATTTCATAACCAGCATGTATTTTGAAGTAGGATCTTTAGTTATTCCAAAAAAGTCAGCAAAACTCTCATGTAAACTATATTGATATTTATAAAGCTTTATTAAAAATGATTGAACTAGTTATTAAACTTACAAGACTTGAAGTAATAAGCAAATAATAATAACAAAAATTACTTACATGTTTCAAATAATCTTCACTTATATTTTGGGAATTATGAAGTCTCTTTAGGGAAACTTTCATAGGTCCATTTCGTGTCCATTGCGCGATATCTTCATCCCAAATACTTCGAGGGCCTTCCATCCAAATTGCTGAATAAATTGTGCTAAAGTCACCACTTTTGTTGCTTTTTTCCACAAATTCCAACTGATCAAAATCAATATATTCTAAATAATCTACACTCTCAGTCGCATTTAATTGAGTGTATTTAATAAATTTATCAACATTAAAATTACCACTTGACCAGTTTCGAAAATTTTCTTTAAAGGCATTGTATTCACAACATTTACACCATCTTGCGTTACTTCGTTCTTTTCTACAATCAAAGCATTTTCCAAAACCTGAATTAGAATCCATTTGTTAAGAAGACAAGTTTTAATCTGTGAAATGTAAAAAAAAAAGGTCAATAAATTTATATCAATTTCTGGATCACATGACAATATCTGATAATGCAGCGCACGTTTCATGAAAAAATGGTAGCCGGATTTATTTTTCCGGATCATATACAAAATTAGTGTATAACAAATAATGGACAATTATATGAAGAACGGTCGGGCTGTTGATGTTGATGACGAGTGATATTAACTCTAATCCTACCTAGCTGGCAAATAAATTCAGCTACACTTTTTTCGTGCCGACGCTATGTAAGACTTTTAATTCAAATTATATATTATATGCCGTTCTATCGTTAAGATGATTTATACACTATACTAGCCAGAATAGAACGTTCAATACATCTGTTCTCGTGCATAGGAGGAAACGCGATAAAACCAATCAATTAAAAAAAATTACATTTTTTGATTATGATAGGAAACCTAATGCGTCGAGAGAACTAATTCCGTAAAAGTTTCTATGAATATAAGAGTACGAAAATTTTGTTTACTTATTTTAATTTATGAAGTAATATTACTTTTTAAAATTCAAATAAAATAAGTGCTATCGAATATTTAATCATGAAAATGAAATTTTCATTTTTGTTTGAACAAGGAGATTCAGCCGAGATCAAATACAGCCTTTTTATAAAAGGTTTCCTGATCTATTTCTAAAACTATTTGTTGACTCAGGATATAAACAAAACATTATTCGATCTTCATTTGGAAAGCTAAAGTATTGTATATACTTAAAGGGGCAGAAATCACGAAATTAGATATCATTTAACGAGCATATATCATTCATTAAGAAACTCGTTGAATTATATTACTTGAAAGGAAGTAGAACACGAAAATATATCCTTCATTGGAAATCTCGTTGATGTATATTTCTTGAAGGGAAGTAGAACAAGAAATTTGACGAATATCTATCCTTGGAAAACTCGTTGATGTATATATTTAAAGGGTAGGAGTCTTTCATTTGGAATAATCGTTGATGTATTTTACTTGAAGGGAAGTATAGATTATCAATTCTTCATTGGAAAACTCGTTGATGTATTTTTACTTGAAGGGAAGTAGAACAAGTGACGAATATGTATCATTCCTTCATTTGGAAATCTCGTTGATTTTATATGCTTAAGGGGTGAGAGATTATCATGTGATGAACGTGTATCCTTCCTTCATTTGGAAAATTGTTATTATCATATGATGAACGTGTATCCTTCCCTTCTTTCAATTGGAAAACTTGTTGATTTTATAAACTTGAAGTGGGAAGAGAGCACAAAATTAGATTATCATGACTACGGATTTTTAACGTTGTTTATTACTATATTAGGGGAATGCACGGTTTTGTCGAGACCTTTCATTTTTCGTTATGTGATATACAGTATCGCAGAAGTAATATCCATTGTTATTCCCCAACGGTAATCAGTTGTCAGAATATAAAGCCATTTACTGTAATAAAACCAATAAAATAAATGATTTATAATTAAATTCGTTAAGAGTATGGTACATATATTTTGTCAATAAACCAATAAAATAAAGTTATTTAATTATTAAAGTCCGCTTTTATCTACTCGCCGAAATGAGTTTTAGTAATTAAGCGTTCTTCATAGACTTTAAAATAATCTATTTAATTTATTAAATGTGTTGTGTTTGTCGAACAATTTGGCGTAAATATGGCGGTTTGATCGACATTTCCGTGAAACCCGAATTCGGAACGGTATAAACATTTTGTGAAACTCAAATTTAGCATTTGTTAGACATTTTTGCAAAACGCATTCTTCTTGATAGCACCAAGTACAAAATTACTGTACGTTATAGTTCTGATAACATTGGAGTATTTTTGAGATACAGTCTGGCGTACAAGGACAAGCTCATTTATTAATGGTCGTGTAAAGTAGTAATCGATTGTTGTTTTCACTGTAAGATTTATTATTACCCCGCCATGTGTGACGACGAAAAAATTAAGGGCGAAACACTGTGATTACACGACCATTACAAGTAAAGGTTCTGTTTTGAATGTTTTACACATTTAGAAAGAAAAAAAGGAGATATATTTTTTTATGTTATGTTAATAATCTAACTTGAAAAGCTAATATTTTAGAAAATAAAATTATTTGATTTGTTCTTCTAATAATAGATGTTTAATTCACAAATAATTATTAACAAATTTAATTTTGTACCAATAAATTTATTAAAAACAACTTTGTGACTAAACTTTTTGAATTAACTATAAACCGAAATATTAGAAAATTTATTCTATTGTTTTTCACTTTTTTTTTGAAGTTTATCCAATTAATTTTACATTTATAGCGTTTACGAGTTAACGACATTTTAGCTGAAAAGCCTTTTATTGCCCCAGCTAGCCCTTTGCAATGGCCTATCAGACCATACAAAAGTCTTAATTTTTTTATAAAGAGCGAAACTATGAAAAATCTAGAAAATTATGAATCTTAGGCGTAAATCTGTTCCTGCGGTTAGTGATTTTATCGCAAAAATCGCGATTATAATTCCGGCGAAAATTAACATAATTTCAGAGTAAAAACCTAGAGTAAGACAATTTAATTAACTAGGGAACGGTTTCGAAAACCGTTGTTTAGTCCGGAGCATATGTGTAAAGAAAAAGACCAATCATGTATCGACTCAATTTTTGTGCGGACGGACAGCGGGACATCTTGTGTCACCGGTCATAGAATTATATAGTCCTTTCCTTCGTTACACTCCGGACTAATAATTATAATCATAAATTTCACAAAATCGTGTCGTGATCAACACATCTTGGACAACCTACCTGTGGTGCGACAAGTAAACAAAGTAAATCACTTGATAATGAATAATGAATTACGACGAATCAATTTTTGGTTACAGAGTACAGTAACCCAGCCCGTTTTTTTTTTGATAATGTAATGTACCCAACCCACCCGCATAAATACGATTTCCCCCAAAAACAAAAAAACTGATTATCAATTTTTTTTTTTTAAAAAAAAAAAAGGAAATGGGATTTTTTAACCTTAATACTTTACTTGGAGAGGTTGTTTTGGTAAAAGTATGCTATCCAACATCGGAAACACCCAATTTAACCCAATTAAACCTTGGTGATAATTTATCAAAGGTTCGTAAGGAATTGGAAGTGCGTGGATTCATCAATGACAAATTGGCATTTTCTCGAAAAGATGTTGAAATGTCCAAAGTATCAAATCCGGACGAGGAAACAATTCGCCTAAAAGAAATTATAGACCAAAATTGTAAAGATTATATTTTATATTTAACTCATTCAAATTTGTGGGAATATTTGAATGAAAAGCACAAATTAGATTATGGTCGTACCATAACTAATGACGGTATTAAAACCAAGGATTATAAAGTGTTTATTATGAAAGGCTGTGATCTATTCAACCTTGGCACTAAAGAATTTAGATCAGATACTGTTGAATACAATTCAATCGAAACTGAAGATAGGTTGACAAAATCGAATTTTAACGTTAATAGTACATTCCAAAGTTTTATAAAGTTGGGATTATCGGCTGAAATAATGAACAAAAACAAATCAAAATTGGAAACAAATTCAACTTGTCATTATAGAAATTATGGCAAATTCTCCTTGAAGATTAACATTAGAAATCATTTAATACCAACTGAAGAATTTCTTGAGAGAGTAAATGACGCCATAAAATCAAAAAATTCGAAAAGTTTTATTCAAATTATTGAGGATTTTGGTCAATTCATACCAACTGAAGTGATTTTGGGTGGAAGAATTTATTTAAAAGATTATGGTAGTTCAACAGAAAATTCTACAGAAAAAGCAAATAATGTTGCTATGAATTTGAGAGCTCCTAATATTGCGGATGCTGGAGCATCAATAGGTACCAATCATACTATAGGAAATTCAAAGGATTATAAATCAAAATGTGTTGAATTCATCGGAGGCAAACTTGAAGGAATTGAAAATTTCGATGAAATAGCTTGGGTTAAGTCTTTAGAAGATTATAAAAATTGGGAATGTGTAGAATTTCGAAATCCTACCAATATCTTTCAACTGTTATCTGACGACTTACAACGAAAAATATTTGTTTTGCTTGGGAAACAAATTATTTATTCGAAAACGGAAACTTACAATTATTCGTTTGGCGAAAGTAATAAACCGGCAATAATCGTATTACGTGATGTAAATATTTCAAAAACCCTTCAAAATAAAGATGCAGATTGTAATATCTTTGCAACAGTTGTAGATGAAGAAGATACAAATAATGAATGCTTTAATTGTCAAATCTTTTGGCCGCAAGATGATGAACCTAGACTTTTCATTCATTGTATTCAAGATAAATTTAGAAATCGTCCATGTAAATTGAAAATCAGTTGGATGGTTATTGGCTATGACGTAAATTTTAATTCTTTAGTTTCAGGTTTTGACGTTCAATTGAAAGTTCTAAAACATGATTTTAATACAACAAATAATCAACCTATGATGAATAAGATTTTACCTATCAAAGGTGTTCCCCCTTGTATGGGAATTCCCGTATTAAACAGATTAGATTCTCCAAATGATCATTCCCTTATAATTGGTCATCATTTTTATAATGTTCAAGGCAGAAATGCTTTATGCGCATTTGCTTATTGTCTAAAAAACAAACGTTATGTTAATTTACCCGACTTTACATTTTATACACTTTTTTCTAATGCTTATGAATCACTTGCTTTGAAAATTAGAAAGCGTGACTTCATATTGAATAGAAATCCATTTGCCAATATTGAAGAACTTACTTCAAAATATCCAAATCCAACATACGCTAGTTTGTATCTACCAAATAATAATAATTATTACCCAATGTTCTTGAATCAAAGATGTAAACAGATTCAATTAGAATATGTTAAATGTAGTTGTAATAAAACTTGTTCTATCTGTAATAAGCAATTTACAAAAATATCATTACATGACAAAATCGAATGCATATTTTTTAATCCAAATAGCAGGTATTTTTTATTTCATAATCAAATTTTTTTTTAATATTAACTTAATACTAATGAATTATCTTTTGTCCCATATAATAATTTGCTTACAATCGCGATTTAATAATTATTAGTAATAACCTACAATTAAGTGCTTTGAATAGTGAATGGTTGGATGAGAAAGTATTGCAAATTCCTGGTAAATAATTTATTTTATCAAAAATTTTTAGGATTATTTTCTAAAAATACTGCTAAATTAATTTTGTATTTTCTTTTTCAATCTAGCTAGAAAATATTATGGTATCGCCCGAATTAATATTATCGAAGCTAAAGATCTCAAACCTACCGACTTATGGTTTGTTGGTAGTGACCCTGATTCTTATGTAAAAATTACAAATGCATTTAGTGGTGTGGAATATGACAAAACTCGTATTATTTATAATTCAATCAAACCAAATTGGCAACAAGTGATTTATATTCCAATTAATGATCTTAATGAGCAATTCATGTTGCAAGTTTATAATAATAATGCTTCCTTCAAACATAAACTTTTGGGATATTATGTTCTCGATCTCATGGACTTTATGGAGGTTCGTAATGGAAACATTGAAGGAAAGCATTTGGATCTTGAGTGCAATTTGACATTAAATGGAAAGCTTCATTTTACTGCCGATTTTTATTCCTTTTCCGAATTAGAATCCGAACCTTCAAATATTATTTCTAAAAATACAATCACCATCAATCATTTATACCTTTTGATTACATATCAACGTCAAAATGGTTGTTTTGAAATAAATGACGATGTAGCAAGCTTGTTTAACTTTCCTTCCAAAGAAGAGCTTATAAAATCATTTGCCGCTTTTGTACAGAATGATGAAGTAGTAAAAAAACTTCATATTGACGTTTGGGGTTCGGCAGTAATTACAGGTAACTTCACTATTATTTTAATCAATTGTTAATCGTATCAGATAATATTGATAATTCATTCCGTAATTATTGTTCTATATAGCATTCCTTAAAGCTTTATTATGTACTCACTGGCAAGAGTGGAGTACAGTTTACGAAAAAACAGAAACTTACTTGAGCGAAACTGTCACCAATCCTGAAATAAAAGAGAGGTTATATAGCTTGTCAAATAAATTTGTGATTAAACACTTTAAAATTGAATCAAAGACTTCCGTCGAAACTGTAAAGAAGGTTATCAGCACTCAAAAACAAGATGGGTCTTTTGATCTGCCCGAAGACGTCTGCAAACAAGTTGATGTAACAAATGAATCCTTAATTACCACCGTCAAAAACTACGCCGTCAGTGAATCTCTGCAAAAAACTATCTCGAATCAAAGTTGGTGGTCAACAGCCTTGACATTAAGTTATCTAAAAACCTATGCCTCGGCACATGAAGAAACTTGGAAGGTGGTATATACGAAGGCAAGAAAATACCTTCATGAACAAGTAAAGGATGACAAATTAGAAGAAGAGATTCATAAAACCTGTTCAAAGATTTTGATACAAAAAACCACCGAAAAGGTTAAACAAAATCACAGTCTTATCACTGACCTCGAATTGTGTAATTCACAAAAAAAGAAAATTATGGAAGTACAATCATCCACCACTACAGAGAAAATACAATCCGTTATCACCAAACAGACAGTGGATGGTTCTTTCGAATTAAGCAAAGAAGATAAATTGGATGTGCCTTCTGACACCACCTTGGTATCCAACATTCAAACGTATGCCTCCCATGAAAAAATGAAGAAGAAACCAGAGTCAACAATTTGGTATACACCCCCAATAACAATAAGGTAAATGAAAACAAAATTTTGACGTCTGCATAAACAATTTTGAGCTAATTTAACCACTTACTTCCGTTATCTTTGATTCTAAAGATACCTCAACGAATCCCAGGAAATTCAATGGAAAGATAAATACCAACCTAAAAAGTATATTAGTAAGAAATTAGGTGACGAAATATTAGAAGAAGAAATCATTAAAACGTCAGATAAAATCGTGATCGAAAAGACGTCTCTACAAACAAAAGAAAAGAATACCGAAAAGAGGGCAGCCTTAGCAACAATTCAATTAATGACCAATGAAGAATTAACCAAAACCGTCATTTCAACTCAAGACGAAAAAGATGGATCATTTGGGTTAAGTGAAGTAATTTGCAAAGATCTTGACGTCTCCTCAGGAACCCTTACAACAATAGCAAAGAAATATGTAACAAGCGAAAAATTTAAAGATATTGATAATCCTAAAGTCTTTAATACCGCTGTGACTATTGCCTATCTTCAAATTACATCACCCGCTTATGAAAGCCAGTGGAAGGATAAATACGAAAAAGCTAGAAAGTATATCAAAGAACAAATCAATGATGAGATTTTGGAAGTGGAATTATTGAAAGCGTCACAAAAATTAGTCGTTGAAAAAACAACTAAAAAAGTAATTCGCGAAGAAAAGAAAAGCGAAATATCCGATCAAATCGTTGTTGAGCCTGCGACGATGAAAATAATTAAAGAAAAAAAAACAAACCAAGTAGTTACCGTAACCATAGATGAGGTTGTTAATTATTTTACTGATGAATGAATATGTAATGTGATATCTTGTATTACATACTTACAATCTAATTTTAAATATTTTTAGGTCGATAAAGTTAACAAGACTCAAAATAATGATGGCTCGTTTGAAGCTTCTGAGACAATTACTGAAGGCCTTGTCATAGCCCCCCAAAAAGACATTATTTATAGCGAAAAAGTACTCTTGGAATCAGAGGAGAAGTCGTTCCCAGAACCAGGTTCGTGAAAGTTCATCGTATCTTTTATTATTTACATGAAGAATAATATTTTATTTTAATTAAATTAATCCCCAATACAGTTCATGAGAAGCCAAATAACAATAGTGAACTAAGCACTGAACAGCAAATGATTCAACAGCTGAAATTGAATCATGGCTTATTCTTGGATGAGTATGGCATACAACCAAGCAAACTGGCCATTTTTAAGGATGATGGTAAATTGAATATAAGTCCATATAACGAACAACCTATAGTTTATACGAATATAAATGATCCTAATTCTACAACGAACCTTGATTTTGCTTTACAATCATCTGATGCATGTATTAATTTTCCGATCGCTGTTATTGCCTATAATGGTGTTTTGTGTGAATCTTTTGCGAATGACGACGAAAATTTAAATGAATCGTTTGGACACCTGTATGCAAGAAAAGTTTCAGTCGGTGGTAAATTATTTATCAAAGGATTTAGCTCAGCTACTCCAACACAAATCGACGTCATAAAATTTTATTTATCGTGTGTTTATAATTTAGCTAAACATTATAACACATTTTCTCCACTCAATAATTTTTTTGTTTTTGACTTTCTAAGAATGGAAACATTGGATGGAAAAGAATTAGACACACCTGTAAAGTTGGCTGAATGGATGAGAGATTTATATCAAAATAACGACATTGATATAATTTCTTATGATAATCTCATTCCTATTGCTCAATTAAAACACGAATTACTTTCAGATGTTAACATTGAATCTTCTTCAATAGAAAAGCAACCTGGAGTTGCTAATTTTAAGGAGAAATTAAGTTTTGAAGACTGGACTAGAAATGTTATGGACGTTAATTTAGTAAGATGGATTAAAGATTTTCCTCAATGTCTAGTGATTAATAAATCATATAAGTTGGAATCGAGCAAAAAGTTTGCGGCTAATTTCGTCAAAATACCCAATGTAAAATTAAGCACTAAATCTTATTTGGAAGTAATCAAGCCAACAACAAAGGTGGAAGAAGAATTGATAATCAATAATATTTTTTCAATTAAAGATTTAAGCCTTTCTCCATTTGTTGATAGGACGATTGAGTCTGATGATTCAAGTTATTATGAATATAGTTTTCTCGTCAAACTTGAGAAATATGAAATTCTTATGAATAGGGATCATGTTAAACCTTCGATAGAATTTGAAAAAGCTATAAATGATGCACTTGAAAGTACGAAACCATTTAAAGCTTTACAAGGAGTATTTGAAGAGTATGGTCATTTGTTTGCTCAAAAAATTATTTTGGGAAAGATTTTTAAAAGGAATATACCAAATGCTACTTCTGGTAAAATTGATTTACAATCGCCGATAGTTGAATCCTTAGAACCATATCTAAATAGTCTAAATATTCCATATCTTTTGACGCAGCAAGGAAATATTATTGAAAAAAATGATTTTTTTGATTTGATACAACATTTAAACGATTTAGAAATTATTGAATTAGATGATATCATACCTCTCTATAAAATTCTTGATGAACAGATGCAAAGAAAAATTGATATTATATTAGATTCTAATGACTGTAACTCTTCATTGGAAAGTATCTCTGTTTGAATTATGATATTGTTGAGTATTAAGTTTCAATTTTAAGTAATTGAAGTAAGCTTCTTTGTTATTAACTTTGTAAATTAAAGAAATAGTAATTTTATTTATTAACTAGAACAATGTACTATTATATAATATTTGTGTAATATCGAAATATATAGTAAATCATAAATATTTTTTAAAATAAAATTGCCTTATTCAATTAAATATATTACAAATGCTATCATCGATGGAAAAATCCCAATCGAAGAACGTACGCATTAATGTAAAAAAAATTTTGAATGGGAATCTAGTCAAAAAATAAAAAGAAATACGCAACACCATCTATTTTCGTAATAAACCTGTGAAAATCTTGAATTATTTCACGTAAAATAAATCAATATATAGCTTTGAATGCTCATGAGAGTATGAATTGTATTCCATTCTCAGTCTTTCAAAAGCCATCCCAAATCACTAATTGACGTGAACTTTCATTGATATCTCGATCATTGAAATCTTTTATTAAGGCCACCATCTAAACAATTTTAAGTTTTAACGAATCTTAAAAGTACAATATTAATTTCTTAGCGTTAGAGATGTATTATTTATTTATTGTAAGGTGCTGTGGTAAAAAATGTATCCGATATCGAATGCGTCTGGTAGCTTTTTGATGATGACGAGATAATTTTTCCGCACTTTAAATAAATTCACCATTTTTACTTTTAATTATTTTAAAACATTTTTAAATTTATCTACATTAAAATTAAAACCATGGTAGCGGTTGTATATATATAGTAGCAGGTTTTCTCATTAATGGTATCGATTTTTTTTTATTCTGCCCATTGGATCACTTCAGAAATACTCGAAGAAAAGACTAATTGAGCAGGTAACTCAACAACGCGAATGAAGAATTATGAGAACTAATGACAAATTTCGGAAAGTTACTTCTTATAACGAAGTGCTTTTCCACGAAAACAAGAGTTTACGAACGTAAAAATTTCGAGACTACCAAGTTAAGTGTTGTTAGTTTTGTTTTTGGATTTCTCTTTTTATTTTCTACTTTTGCTTCTGACCTCGATTTTTTTAGACCGTTTTATTTGTATTTATTTTCCTTTTTACTTTTGGCTTTGCTTTTTTTCTGAAGGTTTTTTTTTCAACAGGAATTGCTTCTGAAGTAGGTATGATTTATTTTTTTTATATTTTAACTTTAATCAAGGGATGCAGCGATCGAATAATACCGCGACGTATTGGGTAAATTACGGCTGACGGCTTCAAGGAACGTGATAATAACTTGTCGAAATATCACGTGACTGCATTCTCGCTAAGTACAGATTCACAAATATGACAGTCAGCAAGTAAAAAACACTTCAAAAATATTGCAATAAACCTTATATACCTTGTCAATTGTATTTTCCTTCTGATAAAGTTCTGCTATTATTAAATTTGCTAATTATTACTTCCCTTCTTCATAGATTTGATTGTGAATAATTAAACTTGATTCAACTAACTGAATTAAGTATCGAATTGTTTTGAGTCGAAAGAATCGACAGGAAACATCGCGAACATAGAAGGGTGCATTTTTTTTATTTTATCACAGACATTTGGATTTCATTGTTTTGTAAATGTTGTAGACCTAGGTGGATACGGAATGTTGACCAGAATTAAGATTAATTAAGATTAATGTTGGGATAGTGCCGGCCAAGATCCAATATCTACCGATATCCAGAAACCATATACAAAATAAAAAGTGAGCAAACGTGAAAGACTTTGGAACAAGCTACGGCTCGTCGGGTGTAATTTAATCGAGTACGGTTCAATTATACAGTTTCAATCGCGAATTAAAGACGAGAAAGAAAGATTCTTAAATGTTAAAAGTTTTTTATTAATGCTATCACTTGAGAAAAATACAGTATATTTATATAAATTCAAATACTAACAAAATTATAAAATATATAATATAAAATATAACTAAAATAACTGAAATTAATAATTAACTAAAACTAAAATTAATAGACATGTTCATTTTCTTAACGGTAATTACTTCGGTTACTCTATATCGGACATTATATAACGCGAAAAGGTTGTTATTTTGAAATTCTGATAATCTTGGGGGGCGGGGCGGTGAAAGAAAGTGTATTTCAACTTTCAAAGGTCGAGTTGTGGAACGGCCCCAGACCTTCCCGTGTTGGACCGGGAACGGGTTAATGAATCCCGTGTTACGAAGACATTCATCTGGACATGTCTTCACCGTTAGACCTTTTTAAACGGGATTCCGTAGATATGTTGTCTTTTTTAGACGACTTTAAGTTTTTGTAATTTTGTTTGATGGAAGTTTTATTTTTAATAAAAATTTTTCTTTTTGGATGTTTGGCCATTTTTACAAGGCAATTTTTTTTTTATTGAAATCAAAAGTTTGAAAATACACATATTTATATACTTTTTAATACGTATTATAATTTGTGAGAAAACACAATGTACGCAATATAATTTGTGCGAAAACACTGCACGCAATATAATTTGTGCCAAACACGATGCAAGCAATATAATTTGCGTAAAAACAAAAAAAAAAGTCGATTAACATATTTAACTAAACTTTTGATTAAATAAAATTCCGTACAAATTTCATACTTACAAAATATTTAGGACTCCTGAATGCATCTTTTAAAAATACACCAATGCAGTTGTATTCTACAGAGTAAAACGTAATTGCCACATTTCCTTCTTTATAGAAAATTTATTGTTTTGTACAATGAATGCATCCACATATTGTCCGAATTGTTTGTTGTACACTAGAAGATTTACAATTCGCTTGTTCTTTCATACTGTTAAGTTTTTTTTTTTATTTTTCTATTGAGAAATATGAATTATATTTATTTGAATTCGACTTACAAAAGTTGTAATATAACATTAATTTCGCAATAAGATTTGTCCACGATTAAAAATTGAATTTGCCGAGAATTCGTGTTCCTGCGTCTTGTGTAACATAGTAAAAAAATTTTAATAAAAAAAATATGATTTAAAGCCAATGTCATACACATACTTCCTTTGTAAAACAGAGTGGTTGCATCAAATATCAAACATCTCATCATACACAACATAAATAAGTATTTGAACAGTGTCACAGAACTAAACAATTTCGCTCAAACAAGGAACGTATGGTTTTTTTTCATACATGCGTACATAAAAAACCATAAATTCTATACATAAAAAATAGAAAACCTATCCCCTACAGGTTTCTGTAACAACCACCTTACTTTCCATACATTGAAATTCATCCCTTATATAATTAGGATGGTGATTAAAAATAAACAATAATTCTGACAATCTAATAAATTGATTAGTTGGGCTAGAATGTCTTTAAATATTTTTTGTTTTAATAATTTATTTTTAATGCATTTTTAATAAAATAAATTCGTATATTGTTATTATTTATTATAAAAAATAGTAATATATTATTTTTATTTATAATTTATATTTTATTCTTTTGTTTTTTATTTTGAGGTGTCTTTTAACTTGAGACTGAATTATTATATTATTTTGATATATGTAAATATTTGTATATATATTTGTTATATAAATAAAGAAAATACTTAATTTGCATATTAAGTTAGAATCTAATAAAAAAAAAAAATTTGAAAATAAAATAGTTAGATAAAAGATAGAAATATATATTTTAAATTCACTATACTCATTATCTTTGTGATGGCAACAGTCATGATCGGTTGACCCGACCGACAATTTGACTGGCCGATTTTAGCTGACTGTTTAACCGACCTTTAAAATTAATAACATTTTATGACTTATTAGGAAGGATAAAATATGACAATTTTTATTTTTTTTTACTTGAATATTGCACTTGTAAACCATTCTTATCTCTATATATATTTTTTATTTTATAGCGGACTTTAATTTTTATAAAAATTTGTATATAAAAATAATTAAACTAGGAAACGGGGACCATTGCTAAGTCCGGAGCAATTGTAATGCAAGTAACCGTAACTAACTCAATATTTGAGCGGAACATATTGTCTAGAAATACGCTCTGGACTAGTGCTCCGAGTCGGTCGAATCGACCCGGGTCATTTAACCCGACTCGAGAAAAAATTCGAGTCGGGACTATCATTTTATGTTATGAAGTCCTAATTACTTAAAACTTGTCGGGTTCGATTTTGCTTGACCCGTGTGATTCGAATAATCAGGTGATGTAACTTTTAAAATGAGGCAAACTATCGACCTTATTAATTCTGATAATACAACTTCTATTGGAAATCGAAAATAATTGCGAAGCGAACTTTTTGCCAAAGAGCTTTTGAAGATAAACTTCTTCCACCTGAATATAAATTCAAAAACGCATTGAGAAGTTAGATGTCTTAACTGCTCGTATCATTTTTAAATAATAAGTTGATACTTTTTTTTTTCAAAAATATTAGTGGACATAAAACGTGGCTCTGCAATATTGGTAACAAATTATGTCGTTATTTGGAGCGCAATCATCCAAATAGAAATGAAATTATTTTAATAAATAATGAGTGTTCCTGTTGAATGATTTTAGACTTAAAACCGATAAATTTTGCGCATTTGTGTTCGAATTCCTGGAGCCAATAATATATTTAAAAAATCTAAATTTGAATTAATGTACAACCAAAGAACTTTAAAAATAAAAAACTTTCAAATTTAATACACATTTTTCATTTTATACACATTACCTTAAAATTCGAGTCGAATACGAGTTAAACAATAATCGGGTCGAGTCGAATTCGGGTCCTGTAACTATTAACGGATTCGAGTTCGAGTTTTCTCCCGACCCGACCCTTACGGAGCATTACATGGTAATGTATAAAATTATTGTCATAGCCGATGTGATCTAATTTTGGCACAGTCAAAACCCGAAGGTGACAATATTATTATTTTCGAGTAGAATTATCGTGACGATCAATTCTTATTTATTTTTTATTTTTAAAAAAATAAAATACTAACCAATCATATTTCATAAATATTTGATTTTTTTACATCTTTAACAATCTTAATAG